CATGCCCAACATAGGTAAAATAAATTATAACATAAATAATAATAACAAATAAGACTGTTATTAGTGCAAATGTACAAAAAAACACTGCAAAGGCACACAGCAATAACAATAATACAATTTTAAGAAATAGGAAAAACCTATTCTGCACAACAAGGGCAAAACCATGGCGTGTCACCAGAGGGTTTATTAACAAGCCCCACACAACTGAAGTGAAACCACTGGACTGGGCAGTTCTGGTTGTCACAGGCCACCATGTCACCCTCCTCTGGTCCAGAACAGAGACACCACACTTCCTTGGCTTTTTTGGCTGGCTGCCTTCGCGGCCTCTTCCCACCTACTTGTTGTGGCTGTGGCTGCTGTAGTTCACGTAGTTGTTGTATCAGTAGATCCGTCTCTGTCTCGCCGAAAACGTAAATGCGTATAATTTAAAGTGCTCTGGAATATGAGGAGCGCGTGAAATTCTGGGGGCGTGCCCCCGTTGCGCAGCCAATATGTCCGACAGGCTCAGAGCCCCCCCCAAATCACCCCAACTCGGCACGTGACTCCTCATTCTCAATAACTCATGTGCTCAGGGGATTCTCGCGGTACTGCAGACTGAACCAGACTGAACCAGACTAAATTCACGTGGGCTACACAGAAATTTTCCCATAGAACTCAATGCATATTAAAACAGCTCAACCTCAGCTGACAGAGAACCTACAGCTTTAATAAAGATAGTATTTTGTAGGGATTTTAGTGTCCCTTGTCATCCTGAACTTTTTTTCTTTTTTCTTCTTCCACAAACTCTGCTCGTCTGGCTCTCGCTCTAACTCCCGCTCTGATGAACTGCTCTGATTGGTCAGAGCGCGGCCGAGCCCCTCTGTGCACGTGCGTGAGACCCGGTGTGAGACCCACACACGCGTGTTTGACGCAATGCATTATGGGAGATCATCCACTGCGCAGAACCGGGAGGACCAGACGATGCCCAAATACAGGCGAGTTTCCCATAGATCTTTGCGAGTTTCAGGCAACTTCCGCTAATCTTTTCAGCCCCCATGCCGTCACAAAGCGCCACTGAGCACAACCATTCATTTGAATAGGGCGCCATCTTGGATCGCCGGGGCTTGGTCCATCCGCTCAACCATAGAACTACAAGAATGCGCCCAACTCGCGCGCTCGGTGACGTATTAATCGCGCGACACAACGAATCGATAACCAAATTCTTTGCTAACGCTTTTAATAATCGATTTTTATCGATTCGTTGTTGCAGCCCTAGATGTATCATAGGTATTTTTACAAAACACACAATGTTGTGTACATAGAAAAGTTAGGGACATTTGACTTTCAGGTGAAATGTGTGGAAAATTATGCATCAAGTGACACTGAACAATTAAACACTTATATATGATAGAACCCTGTATATACACTGATAGAACCCTGTATATACACTGATAGAACCCTGTATATACACTGATAGAACCCTGTATATACACTGATAGAACCCTGTATATACACTGATAGAACCCTGTATATACACTGATAGAACCCTGTATATACACTGATAGAACCCTGTATATACACTGATAGAACCCTGTATATACACTGATAGAACCCTGTATATACACTGATAGAACCCTGTATATACACTGATAGAACCCTGTATATACACTGATAGAACCCTGTATATACACTGATAGAACCCTGTATATACACTGATAGAACCCTGTATATACACTGATAGAACCCTGTGTATACATTGATAGAACCCTGTATATACACTGATAGAACCCTGTATATACACACTGATAGAACCCTGTATATACACTGATAGAACCCTGTATATACACTGATAGAACCCTGTATATACACTGATAGAACCCTGTATATACACTGATAGAACCCTGTATATACACTGATAGAACCCTGTATATACACTGATAGAACCCTGTATATACACTGATAGAACCCTGTGTATACACTGATAGAACCCTGTATATACACTGATAGAACCCTGTATATACACTGATAGAACCCTGTATATACACTGATAGAACCCTGTATATACACTGATAGAACCCTGTGTATACACTGAGCAGTTAATGGCAGTAAAAGTACTAAACTCAACCTTTTTTAAGTGTTGAAAAATTAAGAAACAATGTATGAATACATTTCCTATCTTCATAATTCCTATTATTAATACTTACTTCCTCCAAATTTTCCTCGTACAAATGTTTTTGAACCTTTCTTCAACAAAACTGTATTTTTCTATAGTGAACCAAAGCAGCTGAAATTGTTAGATCTTTGTGTCTGTTTGAGTTTGTCTGTGACATAAATACAGTTTAGTAATAATCTCACAAACTGCTATCAACAATAATGGTCAAACTTACTTCTGAAAACTATTCCCCGAGCCCTGTTTTGAATAGTCTGAATAACAGCAACACTCCGCACAGAGCTCAGGCATCGCGCTGTAGGAGGACCGGTCCAAGATGGCGGCCACATGTCTCGTTCCCGAGCGGCCAATGCGGCGTCTACACTTTAAATATCTGTGGGCACATGCGCCGCTGAGCACAAACGGTCAGCACTAGATCATACACGGAATCGGGACGGAAACTGAGGTAAATATAACAAACTACCTATTCATGCCTAAACCTTAACCCTAACCTTAACCATCTTACACCTAAAACTTAACCAGTCACCATTTAAGAACGAATTAGTCTAAAATTACTTTGAAAGTAGGATTGTTACTTCTGATTTTGTCCTGATTCCGTGTATGATCTAGTGCCGACCGAGCACAAACCATTCAGTTGACTACGGCGCCATCTTGGATCACCAGGGCTTGGGGAAAACCAGTGGGGGCATGTTTCGGCTCAAAAGTGTCCAAAATGACGTGCGCTGACATGCTGCAGTACCACCCCGGGCCTGTGGGGGTGGACCTGGAATAAGAATTAGCCAATGCTAACATATAGCGTTAGCAGACCTCTCAAAAACGTCTTTACAGGATGGACCAAAAGTTGTCTCTTGGCCCAAAGCTCCGTTCCACATGTGTGTCAATGCTGAGTGTTCTGGACCAGTCTAGTTTAGTCGCTGTGAATTATTGAAGTCTCTCGTTCAAATGAATGGAGCTCTCTCCGACTGACGCAAGCACAGATGCGTTTTTTCACAATTTTCTTGTGGGCGGGACCACTCGCGGCCATTTTGGATTGCTCCAGTAGAGCAAATGTTTTGGCCCATTAGTTAGAACGACGGAGACAGGCGTGACTCTGTCCGTTAATATATACAGTCTATGGGGAAAACGCACACACAGGAGCTTCGTGTGGCTTAGTATCACTCTTATTATGAGTACTATGATACTTGCAGACTTTGAATGAGTCCAATTAAGCTGTTACCGTGACGACAGTGGAGTCACTGGGATCAACAGAACCACTAGAGATGATAGTTCTGATCGGTGATACAATAAATAGCAAAAGTTACTTTTAACAGCATTTGAGGCGAGAAATATGACCCTTTATTGTTGTTTTGGGGATTTGTTGAGCTGTAAATAACAAAAAGTTTGGACTTGTGCTCCAGGGGGGAGCTCCATGGCGGTAAGCTAACAGCAGTAAGCTAACAGCAGTAAGCTAACAACAGTAAGCTAACAGCAGTAAGCTAACAGCAGTAAGCTAACAGCGGGGGCTGCAATGAACGCTGCCTTTCGTGCGGCACAGAGCCTGGATATAACTTCAGACATTACCTTGGTCCTCACAGTCCCAGACCCTGGTCCAGGGTCTGTGACTGCGAGGACCAGGGTAATGTCTGGTTTTACCTGGACTCTGTGCCCCCGGGACGGCTGCGTTCATTGCAGCCCCCGATGTTAGCTTAACGCTACGGAGCTCCCCCTCGGAGAATAAGTCAGAACTTTTGTTGTTTACAGCTCAACAAATCACAGAAATGACAATAAAGGGTCATATTTGCCCTATTTATTGCATTATTGATCAGAACTATCATCTCAGACGTGGTTCTGTTGGTCCCAGAGTGACTCCACTGTCGTCACTCTAACAGCTGCTTAATCAGTCTAGTTTAGTCGCTTTGAATTTTTGAAGTCTCTCGTTTAAATGAATGGAGCTCTCTCCGGCTGACGCATGCGCAGATGTGTTTTTTCACAATTTTCTTGTGGGCGGGACCACTCGCGCAGCCTTTTAGGATAGCTCCAGTAGAGCACATATTTTGGCCCAATTGTTTGAACAGTGGAGATAGGCGTGACTCTGTCCGTTAATATTTACAGTCTGTGCTCCCGCCACACGTTTCCCTCTGCTCGCGTGCATTCCACTGTGTACAAATTCAATTTTTTTGGTAAAGATGGATCCTGAGTTAGTAGTATTGTTTTTATTCTTTTGAACTTATTCGATGAGCTCCCGAACACGCCTGAAGACCTGCAGACAGTGACCCGGGGGTTTGCACGGCCGGCGAGGTCTTCACAAGAGCTGCTGGGGCAATAGATGGCCGCCATGTCCAAATCAAGCCTCCAGGCGGCCCTGATGGTCAATGCTTCCAGAATAGGAAACTTTTCGCAAGCATTATTCTGCAAAATTCATTATTATGTGAACTCTGTGGGAGCTGTGCTGGAGAGAAGGATGAGCGCTCTAATGCAGGGCATCCTGGGTCACTCCAGACACCCTCTGCATGACACTATGGCCGCTCAGAGGAGTAATGGAAGCAACAGGCTCCTATCACTACGCTGCCGAACGGAACGTTTCAAAAGATCCTTTGTTCCTTTGGCTGTCAGACTGTACAACAAACCTGACTGACTGTACTACAACAACAAGAAAAGAGTCTTCTGCTGCTGGACACCTGAATTTCTCCTATGGGGGATCAATAAAGTATTTATCTATCTATCTATTCTACAGGCGCCGTGTGACCATCAGGGCCGCTTCCTGGACATCTATGTGGGCTGGCCTGGTCAGTCCACGACTCCAGGGCCCTCTGCTACAGCCCTCTGAACCTCAGAGGGCTGTATCCTCCTCCAGGGCACTTCATCTTGGCAGATGGAGGGTATCCCTGCCTCCAGCGTCCTCTCCCCCTCATCACTCCCTACATGCGGCCAGTGCAGGGCGTGGCGGCCAGTGCAGGGCGTGGCGGCCAGTGCAGGGCGTGGCGGCCAGTGCAGGGCGTGGCGGCCAGTGCAGGGCGTGGCGGCCAGTGCAGGGCGTGGCGGCCAGTGCAGGGCGTGGCGGCCAGTGCAGAGCTTGGCGGCCCGGCGCTTCAACGCTCATCATTCCAGGGCACGCTCCTTTATCGAGCGTGCCTTTGGAATGATGAAGACGAGGTTCCGGGCCATCTTCTTCCACTCTCTGGAGGTGCACCACACCTTTGCACCAAATGTAAGCGAAAACCATATTCTCAAACTTAATTCACTTCAAAATACAGTATTTATCATAATATGTCTTTATACGATAAGACATAGTAACAGTGCTGTTTTTTCAGGTCATCGCCGCTTGTGCTGTCCTCCACAACATCTGCCTTGGGGTCGGAGATGTTGTGGCCCCAGAAGACTGCCCTGAGGACAGCCCAGAAGACTGCCCAGAGGACTGCCCAGAGGACTGCCCAGAAGACTGCCCAGAGGACTGCCCAGAGGACTGCCCCGAGGACAGCCCGGGGGACAGCCCCGACGAGGACACCGTCTCTGCAGTGCAGTGGAGAGACCTTCTGTCTGCTGAGGTGTCTGCCCTGGAGGAGGTGCAAATGGACCACGAGTACCTTTGGGTAGTTAAACACTTAAATACTTATGTAAATATGTGTGAAGTTGCCCAAACAAAACCAGACAGGTCACTTCTGTCACACATCCATTCACTTAGGCAAGGCAAGGCAAGGCAAGTTTATTTGTATAGCACAATTCATACACAAGGCAATTCGGGCGTTCTGCTCTCCCAAAATTCCATTCGATGGGCGGGGGAGCGACTGAATTTTGCGTTGCATTATGGGTAACACTTGCCTTCGCAACTTCCGGTTCTCTCTGCCCGGCGCATTTTCTCTAAGTGGTTGAGTGTTTTCGTCATTTTCTGTATGCAAATACATTCCCGTCTCTAACTAGTGGCATATCGCGCAAATCATCCGTCCAATTCACATTCTTCCCTCTTAGCTGAACTTCATTCTCATTGTTACCATCTGTCACTCGCACACACAGCCGTTTTCGTTCACTCTGCTCGCTGTCATCTTCTTCTAAATCTTCATAAACACCATCCGCTCGTTGAACTAGCAACAACAATTCCTCCTTTCGTTTTCCCACACTGCAAATACCCTTTCGCTTCAACCTTTCACGCAATTCAGGCACTGTCAATCGTTTGTTGTTTTCGTGAGCCATATTCGCCATTGTATGAAATCAACCGGAAGTGAACTGGGCAAAAAACGGTGTCATTTTTTGATCACAGCGCCGCTGTTGGAATATTAACTCCTGCACCAGTTAAAAACTAAAATCAGTTTAGTATTGTTTCTGTTGCCAAATTAGCACTTGTTTGTGTAAATCTCAAAGAGCAGTGAGTTCAAGGTTAGTCTGAAATGGGAGGGGGACAAGAGGGAGACAAGTGTTATCAGAGCAGGTGCAAACGTTGGCAGCTGGCCAGAAGGAGTCGTGGAGTCCATACAGTTGTGATGTCATTGACCTTGGATGTAAAGTATAAATGTATGTGCAGGAGTGGTCACGAGAGACTTTTTGCTTTTTCGTCTGACAAGGAGCAGTGAGACGTCCCCGGGGGCCACTCCTTATCTGAACGCGAAGCGAGATCTGTTCGCGGACCGTTATCTTGTAATATTGCTTGCAAAATCTTCAATATAACCTTTTTGAAATCAGGTTTGGTATCTGTCATTTCTATCACTGTTTTAACATTGGTTTTTGTCTCTTGTTGAACTAAAAGGACCTGCAGAACGAAGGGCTGTGTTTGCGGCCTCTCTGCAGCTTCTGGGGCGGGGGAATTCTGACAAATTACTGCAGAACTTGGCGTCGCTCGAACAGGATTTCGACAGGAGACACTAGGACCGGTCAGAGAAAAGATTAATTTGGCGCCAAAGTAAAACGGTAAGATTGTTACCAACTAATTAATCTTTCCTTTCACCTGACCTGAGACCTAAAAATAAAAAATAAAAACAAACAAACACCAAGTAGGGTAAATATTGAAGGATTTGCAAGTATTTTATATTTTATTGGGATAATAGTATTCTAAGTCTAAGTGACGTAAGAAAAGGAGAAAACTGTGTGTTTTATCTCAGTGATTGATAGTTAACCTAAAGGAAAGAAAACTGTGTGTGAGGATCTAAGTGATTTATGAGTTAAGGAGTCAACTGTGTGTTATCTCAGTGATTTAATAGTTGAAGGAGAAAACTGTGTGTTTTAATTAATTGACAATAAGGGAAAGGACAGGGACAGTGTCTAACTTTTCTCACTTTTTAATTTTTCTCTTGGTGTGAATGAGTGATTGATGTTTTCTGTTGAAAGTGACCATTGCACAAACGGTCACAGTGAACGCAGTAACTTGGGTCGCGTAGGACGGGGTCACGATTCGTGCGTACATTTCCCCACCACTTGTGGTTGAACGGGGAGATACCACGATCTGACGCTCTAAGATTACGCACCCAATTGCTGATTTTTTACATTGATATTGATAACACAAGGCTTGTAATCTAGACGGTAGAAAACATGGCATCTGTAACATTAGATGAGTGGATAAAGGGGATTATGATATTCTAATCTCAGGAGTATCTGAAGAGGCATGTACAGAAATCACTATGAAAGTACTTAGAGTAGTGGCAGAAAAGGGATTCAAAATTGATTATGACAAGTGTGCATTTGTAAGACAGAGAGTATCGTTTCTAAAGACTTATCTCACTTCAGAAGGAGTCATGTGTGACCAGTCAAGACTGATCAAACTATCAGAGTTTCCCAAACCAAAAACAGTGAGAGAAATGATGTCCTTCATAAATACGGCAAGCTATATCAGGAAATATATTTTCAACTTCTCCTACATGATGAAGCCCTTGCAGAAAATGTTGATTGATGTAGGCTACACAGATTATGATGGGATCTTGACATGGACTGAGGAGCAAGCACAGGCATTTCAATCAATCAAAGAAAACTATCAATGGTGCAGACTTTACACTGCGTTGATAGGAAATACCCAATTATGATGGAAATCACAATGACTGGAGATTATTATTGTGCAGTGTTGTTTCAGAAAATAGCAGATGCACCCAAAATATTGTACATATTCAGCTCCAATCTCAGAGGATCAGAAGCACACCACTTCTCATGTGCACGTTATGTAATGGCCCTTAAGAACTCACTGGTTTCCACATCACACATAATCTTGGACTCAGAGGTTATTGTGAGAACGCCACATAACATGTATGCAGCTTTGAAGGGGAACACATTTGCATTGACAAATTCAATGTCTCAAAAGATTCATCTGTTACTCGTAAATATGCAAGTTACATTTGAACCAACAGACTCTCCAATATTACCATTTACTATCTCAGGCCCAGTTCACCAGTATGAGGTCCAACATAGTGAAGAAACAAACTTGATCAAAAAGTTGGGCAGGTCAGAGATTGAGGGGTCACATGCTATTTTTATAGATGGACACTCGCATAGAGACAAAACTGGAGCATTGGTTGCAAGCGCAGCAGCAGTCATCCATGACAGGGAAACATCACCTGTTACCAATCCTGATTTTAACATACTGAAGGCAGAGGCGCTGGCAGGGAAGTCAGCTCAGTATGCAGAATTAGAAGCATTTAGCCTGGCTTTGGAGAACAGGACAGAAGGACCTATCACAATATATACTGACTCTGAGTATGTGCATTCTACAGTGCATTTGCACTTGCCAATCTGGGTATTGCATGACAATTTCATCACAACAAAAAATTTGAGACCTACACATTTGGAATTATGGCAGAAGGTGGCAGACCAAATCAAGAATGTACGTCACAAAACTGCATTGGTCAAGTGTAGAGCACATACTCGAGCCAGAGACTTCGTGGCAAAGGGCAATGAGTTTGCTGATAGAGTTGCTAAAATGACAGCTGGGTATGACAGGATAGGTATGGCTCTGCAGGTAGTTATTGAAGACAATCCTGAGGGAACAGAGGAACCAGTGGAAGAAAGGGAAGAGTACAGTCCACACATATTGCAAGAAAATCCCTCACTGTATGATGTGACAGCATGGAAAACTGCAGGGGCCATTAAAAACAGTGAAGGAGTATTCTATGATACATTTGGTAAACCGTGCGTAACTACTAAAAAACTACTACAGATCATTCAAAGTAAGCATGAGGAAACACACATAAAGTGCTCAAAACTTTTTTCAGAACTAAGACGGCACATGTTCCATCCTTTTATGCTACCAACCATCCAGCATCTATGTGACTCATGTGACATATGTCAAGGGCTCTCTAAGGCAAGGGCTGTGAAGGCAGGCATAGGAGCATACCCAGTGCCTCCATGGCCCATGGCAGAAATCGTAATTGATTTCATCGACATGACTGCTGATAAGAAAGCGGATGGGTGTAGATACGTGCTCACAATGATTGACCCACTCACACGATGGCCTGAAGCTTTTCCTTTGGCAAAAGCAAATGCAGAATCAGTAGCCAAAGTATTCTTGACAGAGATCTTTCCAAGGTACGGCCCAGCGAGAGTTATCAGATCTGATAACGGCTCGCATTTTAAGAACCAGACAATGACCCAACTATGTGAGAGGCTGAATATAAAACAGCATTTTGGAGCAGTGTTACACCCGCAATCACAAGGGGTGATTGAAAGGTTCAACCAGACACTGAAAAACAGATTGGCACACATGTGTAGGGCTGGAAAAATGAATTGGAAACAGGCACTGCCTATAGCCTTGATGGCAATAAGAGGAGAACCAAGCAGGCCAATTTTTATGTCACCATTCCAACTGATGTATGGGAGACACATGCCCAGTAACTTATCTCGTTCACTGGAGCTCCCACCTCCAGCAGCCACTGATGATGCTAGGGAAACTTATATGAAAACATTGGTCACTACAGTGAAGTTTCTGCAAGATAACATTGTCACGCTGACCCAGAAATCTCCAGAGCCCCCTTTGCAGGCTGTAAAAGACAAACTTACAGTTGGAGGCTACATTTATGTGAAAAACCAGAAACATTGTTGGGATCAGCTAACTTGGAAAGGCCCATTTAAAATCTCCAAACTATACGAGTATACTTTGAAATATTACTTAGACGACTCACAAACTACAGAGTCATCATTTGTGCACATATCACACACTAGGCCCACTAGTGCACCGGAAAGATCCCTGCTTGATGTAATGAGAGATATCACTACGTCATCAGAAAAGGAGGCCGACAGGGGGACAGAGAGGGAAGTGTCTGACTCTATTAGTTAGAACATGGGGAGTTCTAGGGAGGGCGGAACAACCCTATAATGCACCTATAGAGTCCCTCCAGATAGCCCTGTGATGCAAGTGTCTGATGGCATAGGGACTAGTGATGACAATAGTATGAGAGACCTTCTGGAACTGTTGGGAGTTGAGGATTTTGGACTTTGGGGCTCTGGACTTCCAGACTTTGGAGATTGGGATGTTGAGGTTCTGGCCCCTGAGGTTCAGGAGTCTGGATATCAGGATTTTGACATTAGAGATGGTGGAGGACAGGGTTTTGAGGTCCTGGACATTGGAGATTGGGTTGTTGAAGGTCAGGGCGATGAGGTTCAGGATGTTGAATATCAGGATATTGCCATTTTAGATTTTGGGATTCAGGGGTTTGAAATTATGGTCAATGGACTTCAGGTTATTGAAGAATTTGGCAATTTCTCTGACTTTATGGATTGGGCTGATGAAGGGGACTGTGCATTTAACTGACGTGGTTTGGATCCGACATAAGTGATAAGGGGGGGGGTGACAAATTGGCCTATAAGGGATGTTTAATTTATCACAGGATTGTGATAAAACAGGGGGAAGATTGATTATTGATTATTATCGTTTTTTTTATATTGATTGATTATTAATATTATTTTTATAATTATTGATTGATTATATAAAAAAAAAAAAAAAAAAAAAAAAAAAAAAATATTCATGATCCAGAATCAACTATTTAGATGAGCAATTGAGCAAATCAAAGCTGAAAACACTAATCTGGTATGCATGGGATAGACTTTAAGACTGAGGTGTTCACCATGCAGGTACTCTCAACATGATAGGACCATGGACATTCTTAGGGTTGAGGACACGAGAGTGGGTGAGTATGGTGGTAGGTATAGGGATTATAGCTGGATTTTTATGTGGGCCTGGGAAACAGAGTTAGGCCAGGGGTATGCAAAACCAACAACTGTCTATGGTAAGGAGAAAACTCTTGGTGTCAATTCCTCAATTTCTGATTATTCAGACATTTCACCCGGCAAACAAATGAGAGAACGCAAAATTCAACCTACAAAGGGGACAGGGATAAAAATAAGACCAAAAAGGGAATTGGATAAACTGGGAGCATGTGCAAAAAAGCGACAATACCTATTTGGGGTGCAATTGTGTTTGGCAAAGGGAGAACATATGGCATTCCAGGTACCTTTTATAGCATTAGTAAACAAAGGGAAAAAAGTGGGAGCAGAAAATTCAGATTATGAATGGTACATGACAAATGACATGAGAGATAAATCATGGGGGACAATGGTGGCATATACTGGATTAGATTGGACACCAACACCAACTACAGAGTTTGCAAGACACCATTCTAAAATAATTTCCATGACAAAGGGGATTATGCAGGGAAGTGTACCATGTCTTACAATTACAGTGGACTTGAGAGGTGAGTCATTGGACCCAAGAGACAGATCAGGGAAGAAACCTCTATGGTTTTGTTGGGGATTTCTGGTATGGGCATATGTGCCAGGAGAAGACCCTTGGGCATTAATTACTATATGTGAAGATCCAGTCAGTGTCACAAGAGAAGGGGGCCTTAATGTAGGACATGTAGGTAACACAAATCTAGTAATGGTATATAATGCAACTCTCTTACACGCAGATGATGTTTTCAGAATGGAGACAGGAATAACAGCTACAAAAAATAATTGGCTATTTATGATTGAGCAAGCTGCAAAAGCTACACAACTAAGTCAATGTATTGCTTGTATGGGACCAAGGCCTATGTTACATGCAGTACCGACTGTAGTAGATAGGGACAATCATACATGTTTAGTAGAGATTATGATGAGAGATAACCTATACCCTAACTGTTCACTATATGATAAAATATATCCGGTAACTGCCACAAATGCGACACCACCAATTTTTAATTCACAAGTAAAAGGTGAATACACCTGCGTCATTAGGAAGGTCCTTAGTGGAGAAAAAAGGGAAGTAGGACATGTAAATAGATCCTTATGCATTAGGTATGAGGATTTCACAGAAAAATTAAATGGACACAAGTTGACAGTAGCCAGAGCAGATGTGTGGTGGTATTGTGGTGGCAAGTCTTTAAGGGGATATCTACACCCTCTGTGGGATGGCATGTGTGTGTTGATCTCATTACTTATACCAATTGAAATATCTCCAGTGGATCTAGAGAAGCCAGAGATTTTGAAACAAATCATTAGTGTAAAAACCAGATCAAGAAGGGCACTGGCTAGACCAGAGGAGGGAAGTCCAGTTTATATTGATGCAATAGGTATTCCTAGGGGAATTCCAAATGAATACAAATTGGTTGATGAAATTGCATCAGGATTTGAAAACATCCCAATAATCTCCGCAATTTTTCCAATAACCCCAAATAAGAACGTCGATCGGATCAACTACTTACATTACAACATACAGAGGCTAAGCAATTATACATATGATGGATTTGAGGCAATTCATGAACAATTATCAGCCACATCCTTAATGACCTTCCAGAACAGACTTGCTGTTGACATGATTTTAGCCAAAGAAGGCGGAGCCTGTTCATTGATTGGCCCTACGTGCTGTACGTTTATCCCAAATAATACTGCCCCAAATGGAAAATTAACAAGGGCCCTTCAGGGACTGAAAGCGCTATCCCAAGAAATGAAGGCACATTCAGGAGTAGACCAATCAATGTGGGATGGGTGGTTGGATGTGTTTGGCAGATATAAGGCACTGATAGCATCAACTCTGCTATCGGTGGCTGTATTTGCAGCAATCCTGACGCTATGTGGATGCTGTTGTATTCCGTGCATACGATCCTTATGTAACAAAGTGATAACAGCCGCTGTGGAAGGGAAGGTGGCAGAAAGACAACTGCTACTAACCCAGGACCTACAGTGGGAACCAGAAGAATTGATGACCATAGCCTAAGCCATAAAGGACAATCATCAGAAGAACGGGTGAGTATGGTCTGTGATATTGTCAGAATATCACCAGAGGAGTTGTGAGTATGCTTTATGATATTATCAAAATATTTTAATCAAAAATGTATGACTGCTTGCATGTAAATAACGCACATAACCTTGCAAAATTGTAAGAGGGACTTGGGAAAATCGGGGATGCGATAAAAAATTATAAAAATTAAAATAAAAAATTACATAATTCAAATTGATGCACGACACAAACATATTCTTTCTCCACAGCTCTTGCAACTATTGTTTTTGTTACACAGAATAGACACCGCAGCACACCCACATATAGAATATTTTATAGGATCACTTCAATGTATGTAGTTTAGGGTGAGTTGGATGCTCAGTCCGCCCAGAGGCCTTTGGGGCGGGTCTGAAGTAAGGGCTGAGTGGAAGACCACCACATTTTTCATAATGTCACATGGGGTGGTTTAGGAGTTCACAGATCGTCGTGAAGACTGGGATTAGACTGAGTATAGGATGTAATGCTGGATCAACTGATGAAGATGGGCCATCTGAGACGAGAGTGATGGATGTCCGAAGAGTTCCTCTCCGGCCAACAGGGGGACTGTTGGAATATTAACTCCTGCACCAGTTAAAAACTAAAATCAGTTTAGTATTGTTTCTGTTGCCAAATTAGCACTTGTTTGTGTAAATCTCAAAGAGCAGTGAGTTCAAGGTTAGTCTGAAATGGGAGGGGGACAAGAGGGAGACAAGTGTTATCAGAGCAGGTGCAAACGTTGGCAGCTGGCCAGAAGGAGTCGTGGAGTCCATACAGTTGTGATGTCATTGACCTTGGATGTAAAGTATAAATGTATGTGCAGGAGTGGTCACGAGAGACTTTTTGCTTTTTCGTCTGACAAGGAGCAGTGAGACGTCCCCGGGGGCCACTCCTTATCTGAACGCGAAGCGAGATCTGTTCGCGGACCGTTATCTTGTAATATTGCTTGCAAAATCTTCAATATAACCTTTTTGAAATCAGGTTTGGTATCTGTCATTTCTATCACTGTTTTAACATTGGTTTTTGTCTCTTGTTGAACTAAAAGGACCTGCAGAACGAAGGGCTGTGTTTGCGGCCTCTCTGCAGCTTCTGGGGCGGGGGAATTCTGACAAATTACTGCACCGCTCAGTGGATGAAATTTTGGGAGAGCAGAACGCCCGAATTCAAAGTGCTGAACAAAACAAGAAAGCATTAAAATCATAAATAATCACAGTACATTAAAAAAAAAAGATAAAAATATAAAATCCCTCAGTTGTATGCACAGCTAAACAGAACTGTTTTCAACCTTGTCTTAAACATAGTCAGAGAGGAGGCCTGTCTCACATCTTCAGGAAGACTGTTCCAGATTTTAGCAGCATGAATCTGAAAAGCAGCCTCCCCATGTTTAGTTCTGACTCTGGGCACTAACAGGAGTCCAGTCCCTGTGCTCCTCAGAGTCCCAGCAGGAGTCCAGTCCCTGTGCTCCTCAGAGTCCCAGCAGGAGGCCAGTCCCTGTGCTCCTCAGAGTCCCAGCAGGAGGCCAGTCCCTGTGCTCCTCAGAGTCCGGGCTGGTTCATATGGGACTAACATGTCACTAATATATTTTGGTGCGAGGCCATGGAGAGACTTGTAACAAGCAGAGCTGTTTTAAAGTCTATTCTCTGAGCCACAGGAAGCCAGTGCAGAGACCTGAGGACTGGACTAATGTGGTCGTACTTCCTGGTTCTAGTCAGGACTAATATGGTCGTACTTCCTGGTTCTAGTCAGGACTGGAGCTGCTGCATTTTGAATGTACTGCAGCTGTTTTACAGCCTGTTTGGACAGACCTGTGAGCAGGCCATTGCAGTAGTCTAACCTACTGGAGACAAATGCATGGATAAGAATCTCTAAGTCTGCTTTAGACACTATGTTTTTGATCCTGGCAATGTTTTTTAGATGGTAAAAAGCTGCTGATGTTACTGATTTGATGTGGCTATTAAAATTTAAGTCTGAGTCCAGTATTACCCCTAGATTTCTGACCTTGTTTAAAAGTTTTAGGGAGAGAGACTGTAGGTGACAGATGACGCTCTCTCTTTGTTTCTGGGGACCAAAGACAATCATTTCAGTTTTGTCTGCGTTTAGCTGAAGGAAGTTGTTTTGCATCCACTCACTGATCTGTTGGATACAGTGAAGGAGTGAGTCCACTGGTCCATGTTCTCCTGCAGTCAGTGAGACATAGATCTGAGTGTCGTCTGCATAGTTATGATAGGACACTTTGTTTCTGCGTATTAACTGACCTAACGGCAGCATGTAGAGATTGAACAGAAGAGGTCCCAGGATCGACCCCTGTGGTACTCCACAGGTCAGGGCCATATGATCTGAGACACAGTTTCCAATCTCCACAAAGTACTTCCTGTCTTCAAGGTAAGACCTAAACCAACTTAGGGCGGTGCCAGCGACGCCAACCCAGTCCTCTAGTCTCTGTAAGAGGATCTCATGGTCGACGGTGTCAAAGGCAGCACTTAGATCTAACAGGATTAGGATTGAGACTTTGCCTGCGTCAGTGTTCAGCCGGATATCGTTTGTAACCTTAACGAGAGCAGTCTCAGTGCTGTGGTGGGGTCTAAAGCCGGACTGAAACATATCAATTGAGTTGTTAATTATAAGAAATCTAGTAAGCTGTAGGTAGACAACTTTCTCAAGGACTTTCCCCATAAATGGCAGATTTGAGATGGGACGATAGTTGTTAAGTACCGTAGCATCCAGACTGCTCTTTTTTAGCAGGGGCCTGATGACTGCAGTTTTCAGGGCCTTTGGGAATATTCCAGAATGAAGGGACATGTTTACTATCTGTGTGAGTGAAGGTAACAGACTGCTCAGAACAGACTTCAGAAATCTAGTGGGTAGTACATCCAAGCTGCATGTGGAGGAGCTCAAACTGGAGATTATTTCTTGGACATTTTTATCATCTACAGGTGCAAAGTAAGTTAGCTCAAAGAGCCTTTTAGGCTGTTGGATGGTTATCTGTGGATTGGAGACAATGGCGTTTTTGATGCCTTGAACCTTGTCATTGAAAAAATGTGCAAACTCATTACATTTACGTTTGGAAGTTAGCTCTAATGGCATCTGAACAGGGGGGTTTGTTATTCTATTAACTGTTGAAAACAGAACACGCAGATTGTTGCTGCAGCCTTCAATTATTTCAGAAAAATACCTTTCTCTCGTACTACGTAGCACCCGGTTAAACTCGCACAACTTATCTTTGAAGATCTCGTAATCAACCTGGAGGTTGGACTTGCGCCACTTCCGCTCGGCCCTCCGGCACTCTCTCTTTTGTGCCCTGACCGAGTCTGCTTTAGCCCACGGCGCCTTCTGCTTATTTTTCACTATTTTAACCTTCACAGGAGCGATGGTATAACTTTATGTAGTTAAACATATTTTAACTACATGTAGTTTGTTTATGTTTAACTACTTTATGTAGTTTAACTACTTTATGTAGTTAAACATATGATAAACAAAATAAAAACATTATTTTGTTTTTGAACAAATGTTTTATACCATCTCTTCATAGTGACATGGCAGCCATCTATTGCCCCAGCCAGCCGTGCAAACCCAACGAATGGACGATGAAGTGGACACACCAGAAGAGGAAGACCAGGACCCTAATCTCTGCCCCATCCATGTCGCTGGTCCTGGAGAATGGGATTCAGCAACACTCCAGTCCCTGCTTAGCCACACAGCACTGGCACTCTCAGGTTTATCTTGTATAGCATGTATATAGTTTTATTTTAATGTTTATTAGTTTGCTTAATAAATGGTTACATTGATTTTCTTGTGCTATATTTTATTTGATTCCGCAAAATAATACTTGAGCTCTCGAACTGCTTCACAAATTTACCAGGGGTTTACCATCCCCAATGGGTTTACCATTTACCATCAAACAGGTGTATAAAATCTGTGTAAATACAAAATATGTATAAATAATTTAACCAATCATACACACCTTTAAGGGGAAATGTAAAGCCACTGTTGGGTACACAAACAAATTATTTTTTTAAATCCACAACACGTCAGAGCTGAGGTCTGCCAAATGTTCTCAGGTTGGAAACCTTAGATATGGCCACATCAAATTCAGTCTGAGAAAGTCCCAAAGTTAATAAATATTAATTTAATTAACTAATAACTAATTAATTTATTCATTTGAAGACCTTGATGTATATCATTTCAAATGTATGTTATACTTTTATGGGCTTTTTCAAAATGTAAATCAAACAAAAACAGTTGATTTTTTTATTGTTTTTATTTTCAATGAATTTTTACAGGAGGCCAAAAATCCTGTCAAATTTGGCACTCCTCTGCTGTGCCCGCCGCTCATCCTCCTCCCTCTGCTGTGCCCGTCGCTCATCCTCCTCCCTCTGCTGTGACCGCCGCTCATCCTCCTCCCTCTGCTGTGCCCGCCGCTCATCCTCCTCCCTCTGCTGTGCCCGCCGCTCATCCTCCTCCCTCTGCTGTGCCCGCCGCTCATCCTCCTCCCTCTGCTGTGCCCGCCGCTCATCCTCCTCCCTCTGCTGTGTGCCCGCCGCTCATCCTCGCTCATCTCCTCCTCTGCTGTGCCCGCCGCTCATCCTCCTCCCTCTGCTGTGCCCGCCGCTCATCCTCCTCCCTCTGCTGTGCCCGCCGCATCATCCTCCTCCCTCTGCTGTGCCCGCCGCTCATCCTCCTCCCTCTGCTGTGCCCGCCGCTCATCCTCCTCCCTCTGCTGTGCCCGCCGCTCATCCTCCTCCCTCTGCTGTGCCCGCCGCTCATCCTCCTCCCTCTGCTGTGCCCGCCGCTCATCCTCCTCCCTCTGCTGTGCCCGCCGCTCATCCTCCTCCCTCTGCTGTGCCCGCCGCTCATCCTCCTCCCTCTGCTGTGCCCCGCCGCTCATCCTCCTCCCTCTGCTGTGCCCGCCGCTCATCCTCCTCCCTCTGCTGTGCCCGCCGCTCATCCTCCTCCCTCTGCTGTGCCCGCCGCTCATCCTCCTCCCTCTGCTGTGCCCGCCGCTCATCCTCCTCCCTCTGCTGTGCCCGCCGCTCATCCTCCTCCCTCTGCTGTGCCCGCCGCTCACCTCATCCTCCTCCCTCTGCTGTGCCCGCCGCTCATCTCCTCCTCCCTCTGCTGTGCCCGCCGCTCATCCTCCTCCCTCTGCTGTGCCCGCCGCTCATCCTCCTCCCTCTGCTGTGCCCGCCGCTCATCCTCCTCCCTCTGCTGTGCCCGCCGCTCATCCTCCTCCCTCTGCTGTGCCCGCCGCTCATCCTCCTCCCTCTGCTGTGCCCGCCGCTCATCCTCCTCCCTCTGCTGTGCCCGCCGCTCATCCTCCTCCCTCTGCTGTGCCCGCCGCTCATCCTCCTCCCTCTGCTGTGCCCGCCGCTCATCCTCCTCCCTCTGCTGTGCCCGCCGCTCATCCTCCTCCCTCTGCTGTGCCCGCCGCTCATCCTCCTCCCTCTGCTGTGCCCGCCGCTCATCCTCCTCCCTCTGCTGTGCCCGCCGCTCATCCTCCTCCCTCTGCTGTGCCCGCCGCTCATCCTCCTCCCTCTGCTGTGCCCGCCGCTCATCCTCCTCCCTCTGCTGTGCCCGCCGCTCATCCTCCTCCCTCTGCTGTGCCCGCCGCTCATCCTCCTCCCTCTGCTGTGCCCGCCGCTCATCCTCCTCCCTCTGCTGTGCCCGCCGCTCATCCTCCTCCTCTGCTGTGCCCGCCGCTCATCCTCCTCCCTCTGCTGTGCCCGCCGCTCATCCTCCTCCCTCTGCTGTGCCCGCCGCTCATCCTCCTCCCTCTGCTGTGCCCGCCGCTCATCCTCCTCCCTCTGCTGTGCCCGCCGCTCATCCTCCTCCCTCTGCTGTGCCCGCCGCTCATCCTCCTCCCTCTGCTGTGCCCGCCGCTCATCCTCCTCCCTCTGCTGTGCCCGCCGCTCATCCTCCTCCCTCTGCTGTGCCCGCCCTCATCCTCCTCCTCTGCTGTGCCCGCCGCTCATCCTCCTCCCTCTGCTGTGCCCGCCGCTCATCCTCCTCCCTCTGCTGTGCCCGCCGCTCATCTCCTCCTCCCTCTGCTGTGCCCGCCGCTCATCCTCCTCCCTCTGCTGTGCCCGCCGCTCATCCTCCTCCCTCTGCTGTGCCCGCCGCTCATCCTCCTCCCTCTGCTGTGCCCCGCCGCTCATCCTCCTCCCTCTGCTGTGCCCGCCGCTCATCCTCCTCCCTCTGCTGTGCCCGCCGCCATCCTCCTCCCTCTGCTGTGCCCGCCGCTCATCCTCCTCCCTCTGCTGTGCCCGCCGCTCATCCTCCTCCCTCTGCTGTGCCCGCCGCTCATCCTCCTCCCTCTGCTGTGCCCGCCGCTCATCCTCCTCCCTCTGCTGTGCCCGCCGCTCATCCTCCTCCCTCTGCTGTGCCCGCCGCTCATCCTCCTCCCTCTGCTGTGCCCGCCGCTCATCCTCCTCCCTCTGCTGTGCCCGCCGCACATCCTCCTCCCTCTGCTGTGCCCGCCGCTCATCCTCCTCCCTCTGCTGTGCCCGCCGCTCATCCTCCTCCCTCTGCTGTGCCCGCCGCTCATCCTCCTCCCTCTGCTGTGCCCGCCGCTCATCCTCCTCCCTCTGCTGTGCCCGCCGCTCATCCTCCTCCCTCTGCTGTGCCCGCCGCTCATCCTCCTCCCTCTGCTGTGCCCGCCGCTCATCCTCCTCCCTCTGCTGTGCCCGCCGCTCATCCTCCTCCCTCTGCTGTGCCCGCCGCTCATCCTCCTCCCTCTGCTGTGCCCGCCACTCATCCTCCTCCCTCTGCTGTGCCCGCCGCTCATCCTCCTCCCTCTGCTGTGCCCGCCACTCATCCTCCTCCCTCTGCTGTGCCCGCCACTCATCCTCCTCCCTCTGCTGTGCCCGCCGCTCATCCTCCTCCCTCTGCTGTGCCCGCCACTCATCCTCCTCCCTCTGCTGTGCCCGCCGCTCATCCTCCTCCCTCTGCTGTGCCCGCCGCTCATCCTCCTCCCTCTGCTGTGCCCGCCGCTCATCCTCCTCCCTCTGCATCCTCAGATCCTCCCTGTACAGCTCCACCAGCTCCCTCTCCCTCTTCCTCTTCCTTCCCGTTCCTCTCTGCTGCTCCGCCTCTGGCTCTTCCTCCTCCTGCTGCGGTTCCTGCTCTCTGGCCTGGCTTGGCCCTGGTCTGGCATCAGGGATGAGGGGATTAGGACAGGAGGGTTGATGGACGGCTTCTGCCCCAACACCTCATCCATGAGGCCAAACCAGGGCAAGTCCCAGCAGTGGGGTTCCCCTCCACGCCCTGTCCTGTTCCAGGGCATTTACAGTCCTTTAACACAAGAAATATATGTGGAGTCATGATGGGCTCATGTCGGCACAGGCAGACACACACACGCTAACAAACTCACACGCAGACACACACACGCTAACAAACTCACACGCAGACACACACACGCTAACAAACTCACATGCAGACACACACACGCTAACAAACTCACATGCAGACACACACACGCTAACAAACTCACATGCAGACACACACACGCTAACAAACTCACACGCAGACACACACACACACGCTAACAAACTCACATGCAGACACACACACGCTAACAAACTCACATGCAGACACACACACGCTAACAAACTCACACGCAGACACACACACACACATGCAGACACACTCACACACATGCAGACACACACACACACATGCAGACACACACACTCACATGCAGACACACTCACACACATGCAGACACACTCACACACATGCAGACACACTCACACACATGCAGACACACACACACACATGCAGACACACACACACACATGCAGACACACTCACACACATGCAGACACACACACACACATGCAGACACACTCACACACATGCAGACACACTCACACACATGCAGACACACTCACACACATGCAGACACACTCACACACATGCAGACACACTCACACACATGCAGACACACACACACACATGCAGACACACTCACGCTAACAAACTCACACGCAGACACACACACGCTAACAAACTCACACGCAGACACACACACGCTAACAAACTCACATGCAGACACACACACGCTAACAAACTCACATGCAGACACACACACGCTAACAAACTCACACGCAGACACACTCACACACATGCAGACACACTCACACACATGCAGACACACTCACACACACGCAGACACACTCACACACATGCAGACACACACACTCACATGCAGACACACTCACACACATGCAGACACACTCACACACACGCAGACACACTCACACACATGCAGACACACACACTCACATGCAGACACACTCACACACATGCAGACACACTCACACACACGCAGACACACTCACACACATGCAGACACACTCACACACATGCAGACACACTCACACACATGCAGACACACTCACACACATGCAGACACACTCACACACATGCAGACACACTCACACACACGCAGACACACTCACACACATGCAGACACACTCACACACATGCAGACACACACACACACATGCAGACACACTCACACACACGCAGACACACTCACACACATGCAGACACACACACTCACATGCACACACACACACACACATGCAGACACACTCACACACATGCAGACACACTCACACACATGCAGACACACTCACACACATGCAGACACACTCACACACATGCAGACACACTCACACACACGCAGACACACTCACACACACACATGCAGACACACTCACACACACGCAGACACACTCACACACATGCAGACACACACACTCACATGCACACACACACATGCAGACACACTCACACACATGCAGACACACTCACACACATGCAGACACACTCACACACATGCAGACACACTCACACACATGCAGACACACTCACACACATGCAGACACACTCACACACATGCAGACACACTCACACACATGCAGACACACTCACACACACGCAGACACACACACACACATGCAGACACACACACTCACATGCAGACACACTCACACACATGCAGACACACTCACACACACGCAGACACACTCACACACATGCAGACACACTCACACACATGCAGACACACTCACACACATGCAGACACACTCACACACATGCAGACACACTCACACACACGCAGACACACTCACACACATGCAGACACACTCACACACATGCAGACACACACACACACATGCAGACACACTCACACACACGCAGACACACTCAAACACATGCAGACACACACACTCACATGCACACACACACATGCAGACACACTCACACACATGCAGACACACACACACACATGCAGACACACACTCACACACACGCAGACACACTCACACACACACATGCAGACACACTCACACACACGCAGACACACTCACACACATGCAGACACACACACTCACATGCACACACACACACACACATGCAGACACACTCACACACATGCAGACACACTCACACACATGCAGACACACTCACACACATGCAGACACACTCACACACATGCAGACACACTCACACACATGCAGACACACTCACACACATGCAGACACACTCACACACATGCAGACACACTCACACACATGCAGACACACTCACACACATGCAGACACACTCACACACATGCAGACACACTCACACACATGCAGACACACTCACACACACGCAGACACACTCACACACATGCAGACACACTCACACACACGCAGACACACTCACACACATGCAGACACACTCACACACACGCAGACACACTCACACACATGCAGACACACTCACACACATGCAGACACACATGCAGACACACTCACACACATGCAGACACACACACACACATGCAGACACACTCACACACATGCAGACACACTCACACACATGTAGACACACTCACACACATGCAGACACACACACACACATGCAGACACACACACGCTAACAAACTCACACGCAGACACACACACGCTAACAAACTCACACGCAGACACACACACGCTAACAAACTCACACGCAGACACACACACGCTAACAAACTCACATGCAGACACACACACACACGCTAACAAACTCACATGCAGACACACACACGCTAACAAACTCACATGCAGACACACACACACACGCTAACAAACTCACACGCAGACACACACACGCTAACAAACTCACATGCAGACACACACACGCTAACAAACTCACACGCAGACACACACACACACGCTAACAAACTCACATGCAGACACACACACGCTAACAAACTCACACGCAGACACACACACACACGCTAACAAACTCACATGCAGACACACACACGCTAACAAACTCACATGCAGACACACACACGCTAACAAACTCACACGCAGACACACACACGCTAACAAACTCACACGCAGACACACACACACACACGCTAACAAACTCACATGCAGACACACACACGCTAACAAACTCACACGCAGACACACACACGCTAACAAACTCACACGCAGACACACACACGCTAACAAACTCACACGCAGACACACACGCTAACAAACTCACATGCAGACACACACACGCTAACAAACTCACATGCAGACACACACACGCTAACAAACTCACACGCAGACACCCTCACACACGCTAACAAACTCACACGCAGACACACACACACACGCTAACAAACTCACATGCAGACACACACACGCTAACAAACTCACACGCAGACACACACACACACGCTAACAAACTCACACGCAGACACACACGCTAACAAACTCACACGCAGACACACACACGCTAACAAACTCACATGCAGACACACACACGCTAACAAACTCACACGCAGACACACACACACACGCTAACAAACTCACATGCAGACACACACACGCTAACAAACTCACACGCAGACACACACACACACGCTAACAAACTCACACGCAGACACACACACACACACGCTAACAAACTCACATGCAGACACACACACGCTAACAAACTCACATGCAGACACACACACACACGCTAACAAACTCACACGCAGACACACACACGCTAACAAACTCACATGCAGACACACACACGCTAACAAACTCACATGCAGACACACACACACACGCTAACAAACTCACACGCAGACACACACACGCTAACAAACTCACACGCAGACACACACACGCTAACAAACTCACATGCAGACACACACACGCTAACAAACTCACACGCAGACACACACACACACGCTAACAAACTCACATGCAGACACACACACGCTAACAAACTCACACGCAGACACACACACGCTAACAAACTCACACGCAGACACACACACGCTAACAAACTCACATGCAGACACACACACACACGCTAACAAACTCACATGCAGACACACACACGCTAACAAACTCACATGCAGACACACACACGCTAACAAACTCACATGCAGACACACACACGCTAACAAACTCACACGCAGACACACACACACACGCTAACAAACTCACACGCAGACACACACACGCTAACAAACTCACACGCAGACACACACGCTAACAAACTCACATGCAGACACACACACGCTAACAAACTCACACGCAGACACACACACACACGCTAACAAACTCACATGCAGACACACACACACACGCTAACAAACTCACATGCAGACACACACACGCTAACAAACTCACACGCAGACACACACACACACGCTAACAAACTCACATGCAGACACACACACACACACGCTAACAAACTCACACGCAGACACACACACACGCTAACAAACTCACACGCAGACACACACACACACGCTAACAAACTCACACGCAGACACACACACGCTAACAAACTCACATGCAGACACACACACGCTAACAAACTCACACGCAGACACACACACACACGCTAACAAACTCACACGCAGACACACACACGCTAACAAACTCACACGCAGACACACACACGCTAACAAACTCACACGCAGACACACACACACACGCTAACAAACTCACACGCAGACACACACACACACGCTAACAAACTCACACGCAGACACACACACACACGCTAACAAACTCACATGCAGACACACACACACACGCTAACAAACTCACACGCAGACACACACACACACGCTAACAAACTCACATGCAGACACACACACGCTAACAAACTCACATGCAGACA